TGAGTCTGGTCAGGTAGCTGCGTCGAGTCAGGTGTTTGCTGCAGCGTCCAGGTCTGGTCTTGAGTCTGCTCCCTACTCGTGTCGTCTCCAGTCCCACCAGACTCTCCTTTGGCACCGCCTTGGTCACCCCTCCCTGCCTCGTCTCCGAGGCATGGCCTCTCGTGTCCTTGTCTCTGGTCTCCCCTGGTCCCTCCCTCCCCTCCCTCCGCGGCCTGCCCCTACCTGCGTTCCCTGCGTCGAGGGGCGGCAGCGTGCCACCCCTCACTCCTCCGAGTTTCCTCCGACAGAGGCTCCTCTGCAGACTCTTCACATGGACGTGTGGGGCCCCGCGTGCGTCCGTGGACAGGGTCACAAGCGTTATTTCCTATTGGTGGTTGACGACTACTCGCGTTACACCACGGTGTTCCCCTTGCGCAGCAAGGATGACGTCACTGAGGTGTTGATCGACTGGATCCGCGCAGCTCGTCTCCAGCTCAGAGAGAGTTTCGGCTCGGACTTTCCTGTTCTGCGTCTGCACTCTGACAAAGGCGGGGAGTTTTCCTCTGCCCGTCTGGGAGCCTTCTGTCGTGCACAGGGCATCCGCCAGACCTTCACGCTTCCGGCCTCTCCAGAGCAAAATGGGATTGCTGAGCGCCGCATTGGCATGGTCATAGCCGTCGCTCGTACGTCCATGATCCATGCGGCTGCTCCCCATTTTCTGTGGCCGTTTGCGATTCAGTACGCAGCGCATCAGCTCAACCTTCAGCCCCGGGTCTCCTTGCCAGAGACCCCCCCCCACCTTGTGGTGGACGGGGAAGGTTGGCGATGCATCTGCGTTTCGGGTTTAGGGATCTCGGGCGTTTGTCCGCGACTTTTCTGCGGACAAGCTGTCCCCGCGTGCTGTTCCCTGCGTCTTCCTTGGCTTCCCCCCTGACGCGCCTGATTGGCAGTTTTACCACCCCACCTCGCGCCATGTTCTGTCCTCCCAGGACGTCACCTTTGACGAGTCGGTGCCTTACTACCGTCTCTTCCCCTACCGCACTGCGCCCCTCCCCCCGCCGCCCCTCTTCCTTGCGCCAGGTCCTCCCCCGGTAGACCCTCTCCCCCCTCAGGGTCCCGCCACGTCAGGTATGTCACATGTAGACGCAGTCAAGCCTATCGAGGTAGCTGTTGACTCTAGTGCTGCTAGGACGCTGAGCCTGCGGGTGCGGAGCGTGGGGGTGCGGAGCCTGGGGGTGCTGAGCCTGGGGGTACGGAGCTTGGGGGTGCGGAGCCTGGGGGTGCTGGGTCTGCTCGTGTGGCCTCTGGCGGTGCTTCGTCGAGGCGGGAGCTACTCTCTCCGCAGGAGCTGCGCAAGTGGTTTGCCTGGCGGTGGAGCCGTGCTGCTGGAGCTGGAGGTACTACTGGTGCTACAAGTCCTGGAGGTGCTCGTACTAGCGGTACTGGAGCTGCTAGGACTGGTGGTGCTTCTAGGGCTGCTGAAGTTAGTCCTGCTGGAGGTATTGCTGGAGGTGCTGGCGGTACTGGAGCTGACGGTCCTGCTGGAGTTGGTGCTGCTGGAGCTACTGGAGCTGGAGCTACTGGAGTTTGAGCTACTGGGGGTGTTGGCGCTGGTGGTGCTGCTGGCGCTGGTGCTTCTAAGGGTGCTGGAGTTGGTGCTGTTGGAGCTGGAGGTGCTGCTAGCGCTGGTGCTGCCGCTGAGGGTACTGGTGTTGTCCCTACTAGTTTTGGAGGCGCTACGCGGCCGTGGCCGTACTTCGTTCCGCTCCTTGAGCAGGTTCTTGGTCTCCCGCCCTCTACTGGTCCTACTCCTCCCTTAGAGGGTCCACAGCCTGTCCAGTCGCGGTCACAGTTACAGCCCGCCTCCCCCCTACCTGCTCCTTCTCCCTACACTGGTCCTACTGGAGGTCTTACTGAGCGTCGTGAGCCTGCGTCTCGTCCTGCATCGCCTGTTCGTGCTGCTTGTACTTGTGGTCGTGCTCCTTGTCCGCGTCCTCATGCGGTCCCATGCACAGACCAGATGGCACTGCGTCCGTCCACTGCTCCTCTGCGTGTCCCGTTGCCGTCTCCTCCAAAGTCCTCTCTTCCTATCCTTCCGGACCTTGAGTCTGACTCTCTTCCTGCTGCCAGTCCTACTGTCACGCGTCTCCTGGCTACTGTTGTCACTGACCCTTCCTTTGAGTTCACTGCTGCGTCTGCCTTAGTGGTTGAGCTCGTCGACTTGGCTGCTCGCTGTCGTCTAGACTACGCCGCTAGTCTTGTTGCTGAGTCTGAGTCTGTCTGTCCTCCGTCCGTCGGGGGTGAGTGTGCTCTTAGCACGGACGTCCTTGAGGACAGGCAAGAGGAGTTCCAGTGTTTTGCTGCTGCTTTGCCTCATCTCGTGTCCACGCTGATTGCCCCTGAGGGACACCTGGATGCACCAGACATCCCGACTCCTCGATCGTACGCCGAGGCGATCGAGGGTCCCGACTCGTCACAGTGGCAGTCAGCCATGGACGAAGAGATGGCTTCCTGGAAGTCTACAGGCACCTACATCGACGAGGTTCCCCCACCTGGGGCGAACATCGTCAGTGGCATGTGGATTTTCAGGGTGAAGCGGCGGCCGAGTTCTCCGCCTGTCTTCAAGGCGCGTTACGTGGCTCGAGGCTTCAGTCAGCGGCAGGGAGTTGACTACTTTCAGACCTTCTCTCCCACCCCGAAGATGACCACTCTTCGGGTGCTGCTGCACATAGCCGCTCAGCGCGACTACGAGCTTCACTCTCTTGACTTCGCACAGCTTTCCTGCAGGGCAGCCTGCACGAGGAGATTTGGCTGCGTCGCCCACCTGGCTTCACTGGGTTGTTTCCTCCTGGTACCCAGTGGAGCCTCCGGCGGCCAGTCTATGGTCTCCGCAAGGCGCCCCGTGAGTGGCACGACACACTGAGGACTACACTTGCGGCTCTTGGGTTTGCTCTTTCGACTGCCGACCCGTCGCTGTTTCTGCGCAACAACACCTCTTTGCCGCCGTTCTACATCCTCGTGTACGTCGACGACTTGGTCTTTGCCACTGCTGACACTGCTGGACTCGCCCACGTGAAGTCCGAGCTGCAGAAGAGACACACGTGCATAGACCTGGGTGAACTGCGCAGCTACCTTGGCTTGCAGATCACTCGGGACATAGCACAGCGCACCATTACCCTGACTCAGTCACACATGGTGCAGCAGGTCCTTCAGCGCTTCGACTTCACGTACTCCTCGCCTCAGGCCACTCCTCTGTCTACTCGCCACTCGCTCTCAGCTCTGCCTTCGGATGAGTCCGTAGAGCCGAGTGGCCCGTACCCAGAGCTTGTTGGCTGCCTCATATACCTGATGACCTGCACACGACCTGACCTTGCATACCCTCTTAGCATCTTGGCACGCTATGTTGCTCCTGGGAGACACCGACCAGAGCACATGGCTGCAGCGAAGAGGGTGTTTCGCTACTTGTGCAGTACGTCGGGCATGTGGTTAGTGCTTGGAGGGCGACGTCGAGTGGTCCTCACAGGTCACGCAGACGCTTCTTGGGCTGACGACCAGGCTATGCAGCGGTCGTCACAGGGTTACACCTTCAGCCTTGGCTCCGGCTCTGTTTCGTGGCGGTCTACCCGCTGGTCTTCTGTTCTCGGCTCTAGCTGTGAGGCTGAGATCTACGAGGGGGCCATGGCTGCACAGTAGCTACGCTGGCTCACCTACCTGCTGACTGACCTAGGAGAGCCGCCTCGTTCTCCTTCAGTTCTGTACGTAGACAACAAGGCCATGCTGGCCTTATGTCGGGAGCACAGACTGGAGCACAGAACGAAGCACATTGCTCTTCGCTACTTCCTTGCTCGTGAGCTGCAGCAGCGTGGTCAGCTGCGCCTTGCTTACGTGGCCTCTGAGGCCAACACTGCTGATATCTTTACCAAGGCACTTCCGCCTTGTGATCAGCAGCGCTTATGTACGATGCTAGGTGTTGTGCCTGCTTGGCCTCACTTGCTCACTTCTTGACCTTGCTTGTACTGTGATCTATCTATACCTGCACTTGCTTGTTTACCTTTATATATGATCTTGCATGTGAACTGGCCTCGTGGCCTTGCTCTTGTGCTCGGAGTGTGTGGTGACGTTGTGATCCACCCTGAGCTTGCCTTGCTTTGCTTGACTGGTCTTGTGACCTCTTGTTCTCCCCCACTTTGCCTATGGGGGTGTGTCAAACTCATATGCTATAGTCTGTGTAGGCTGTAGTGGGGTAGACAATATGGGTTACAACACTTCTAGGTTTTCCTACTTGTACCCACCTGCCTGCTAGTTCATTTATTCCTCATTTCTCACAAACTCTGCTCTGCTAGAGCGCGGTCGACCAAGTCGTGCTGGCACGCGGTCAACCGTGCTGCGCTGGCAGTCGACCAGCAGCCTTGCTAGGTCTGATGTAGTCTGTGTTGCCAATGTTTATGCAATCTATTCTGAACGTTTGTTGTTATGTTTCCTAGTGAAACTCTTGCCAATTTTCCCCGTCAACTATCAAGCACTGTTAGCACTTGGAAACGACTAAGGAACGAACGAACGCTACGATCACTCTTGCCCCGTACCTAGCCCGTAGTCTGGCTCCCGTTGCACTTGTTATCTCCGCAATCAGCGCTTTTGTACTTTGTTGGGCCTTGTGCCTACGTTTCCACACTTGCTGTAGACTCTGCTTGTACTATTATCTACATATATAAACCTGCATGCTTGCTTTTGCTAGGTAGAGATTATTGTACTGTTCTTGTTGCATATATACCTCTGCATGTGAACTGGCCTAGTGGCCTTTTTGCTTGTGCTCAGTGTGTGTGGTGACGTTGTGATCCACCCTGAGCATGCTTTGCTTTTCTTGACTGGTCTTGTGACCTCTTGCTCTCCCCCACTTTGCCTATGGGGGTGTGTCAAACATATGCATATGTTATATTTGTGGGTAGGCTGTAGTGGGGTAGATAAAGTGGGGTATAACCCCTTAGGCTTTTCTCCTTGTACTTATCCTCTTGATAGTCAATTCATTTCTGCGTAGTCTCTGAGAGGACAGAGACATGGACAGGAAACAGAGCATGTTAAAGAAATGGACATGAAACAGAGCATAAATTTAGAATGATGCAGCTTCTCCTCGGTAGCAGTGCACGCGAGCATCACCGTCAAGCACGTCTTCTAGTAGCCTGCAGTGCGGATTGGGACCGAGCGCGCCCCACGCTGCTCGATCGTCCTCTCGGCTGGCATCTCCACGAATAGTGGAGTCTGGTCCGCGTTGATGATGCGGGCCAGGTCGATGTTGTGCCGCGCCCTGTTGATGCACACGAATTTCCAAAAGGACTCGCAATCCTTAACGCACTCTGCAAGCGGAACAAACGACACGGAAGCAATGGATGGTTAGAAACTAGGCGAGGCACTTGCATTCAAGCATCGCGCTCAAAACGAATTCCGTCACCGCTCACCTGCCGATAAACGTTGGCCAACCTTGGTCTTCACCCGCATGACCAGGTTCCAGCGGTCACAGAAACGCTGGCTCCAGTGAGAGCTCGCATTCCAGTTCTTGCCGGGGTGGTGTTTCTTCATCCACTCGCAGCTCCACTTCTGGGTGTCTTTCACCGAGATGGCAACCCCATTAGCGCGCTGAAGGCAGATGTAGCGGTATAGCGCCGCCTCCATGTCGGGGTAGTGTGCGTGGCGATCCCCCCCGTGCATCCGCTTGCGGCAATTTGCCACTCCCTTGTAGAAGCCCGCAGCCGCCTCCGCACTCCAGCGTCTGATGCAGACGATGGATGCGGTTGATTCAAAGCTCGTCTTCTTCAAGGAGCCGACCTCCTGATAGCGGCGCGCCCACTTCAGCTTCTCGCGCACGGTCCATCCGCGTCGCTTTTTCGTAGTGTCCTTGCTGCGAGGGGAAGGTGGGCGGGTGTTGGGATAATTGAGGGTGGGGTCTTTCGGCGTGGGCTTCTCAGGGAATGAAGGAATCGGCCCCGCCTCTTCCATGTATTCGTCGTCGCTGCCCAGAGTCTCGTTGACAACGATGTCGTCTGGATTTGGCGTCTTCTTTGCCTTCTTCTTAGCAGCACCCTTGCTGGATCCAGGATCGCTGTCGGTTTTCCGCTTCTTGTTGCTTGTGCGGCGACGAACAGTGGCCTTAGCAGGGGCTTCCACGACCTTGGCTTTACCCTTCTCTGCAGCGGTGAGTATCGGCCGACGCTCCTCCCCCGGACTGTCGTCGTCAGAGAGCACCACGCGGGCACGCTTCGGCTTGGACTGTAGGCGATGGCGCAGCCTCTGCTTCAGTAGCGGAACGTCGTCGTCGTCCTTGAAGCTCCACGGGTCGTCGTCGGAGCCTTCACCGTCAGATAAGACGGCATCTGCAGCAACCTTGTACGCCTCCGCCACAGCATCCGCATCCGCAATGGCGGCCACCTCCGTAGGCGCAACTGTCTCGGCATCCGCTTCCGCCTCGTCGTCTGCCTCCGCATTTGCATCCACCGTCGCTCCCGGTGCATGCGCCGCTGCCTCCGCGTTGTCACCATCAGCATCGGCAACTCCGTCGTTGTCCGAATCACCAGCCCGCCACTCTTCCACTTCGTCGTCGCTCCCGACCGACCGATTCCACCATTCGTCCTCCTCGATGTCGGCTTGAGCTAATTCGTCGCCCGAAGCGCTGTCGTCGTGGCCGTTCTCCGGCCAATCCTCCTCGGCGTCATCGCCGTGTTCTTCGTCGCCGTCGCCCCCGTCACAGCTCGTACCGAAGGCAGCGGTAGAACATCCCGCCTTGCTCGCGTTCTTCGCCATGGCTACACGGATGTCATCGCCGGGTGAGTTAATTCACCCGTAGTTATTCATCTGCACGTGAGGACGAGGAGAGGACGAGCCTACGGGTACTTTGCTGCGCATGGTTAGAAAGCCTGCTGAGAGCAAGGTTGAGTCGAGTATTCAACCTCCTTGAGCACCAAATGAAGCACGAGCCCGACTACCCCCCCCTAGCCAGAATGCCCCATCCAAAGGTGGCGAGACGCTCCTCTACGAGGCATCTCCTCTCTCTTCGCTCAGTCTGGGACCACTTCCTCTCTCTTTGCCCCACCACGCTCACTGTCGACCTCCTCGAGAAGCACCTTCTAGCAGCTGAGACTAGCAAAGTCGCTGTAGGAGCTTCTCGCGGCGACCCTCGCGCCCCTTTCTTTGAGGGGTGCTCCCCGTCCACTTTTTTCCCTCTGTTGCTTCTGCTGCTGCTGTCGACCTCGTTAGCACCGAGGCGGTCGGGGCTGCGTCTGCTCCTAGTGGGAGGTGCCGCAGCGGGAAGGGCAAGGGGGGCAAGGGTGGTGGCGGGGACGGCGGGGGTGGTGGTGGTGGCGGTGGAGGAGGCGGAGGGGGTGGGGGTGGAGGTGGGGGTGGTGGCGGGAGTGGGGGCGTCGGCGGCGGCGGTAGAGGTGCTAGAGGCAGCGGCAGCGGTGGTGGAGGTGGCGGCAGCGGTGGTGGTGGCCAGGGTGGAGCCGCACAGTGTGGAGGTTTTGGCGGTGGTCAGCGACAGCAGTAGCCGCGCTCCCGTGAGACTCTGTCACCCCACCAGCTTCGTGAGTGGTATGCTGGGTGTGGGAGGTCTGGGGGTGCTGGTCCCTGCACTTACGTTCTCCGCACCGGCGACCGCAGTGGGGAGACGTGCGGGCTGCCACACGCAACGCAGCGCTGTTTCGGTCACCCGACTGTCGTCTGACGGACACAGTTTCCTGACGCCACTGAGCTCCCTCGCTGGGCTGATCTGCTTAAGTCTGGTGTTGATATCTTTGCTCTTGACTATGATGCTATCCTTGCTGCCATATATGCTGTGTCTATTAGTGCTGAGGGTGACTGTTACGTGTGTGTTCCGCCCGACCCGGGCATTGGGGCTGCTACTCTAGGTGCTAGTGAGTCTGCCGCTCTAGGTGCTAGTGAGTCAGCTGCTCCAGGTAATGGTGAGTTTGCTCTCTCAGGTACTGCGCCCACTGAGGCCTTGCACACCTTTACACTTGACTCAGGTGCTTCCCGCTCCTTCTTTCGCGACTGCACCACTCTCACGCCGCTCAGTCGGCCGGTTGCAGTCTCCCTTGCGGACCCCTCTTGGGGCCCACGGTTCTACCGTGTCCGGGATACCCGTCCGGCTCACTGTCAGGTCTCCACCTCCCCTCGTTCTCTACGAAATTGGTGAGTGGTGCTGATATCCAGGATGTGTGGGTTGACCAGTTCACTCCTGGAGGTCAGCGGGTGACCCACTGCACCTGCTCCCGGACTGGTCGACACCTGGCCACGTTCACCCGTGCGCGTGGCTCGAGCCTGTACACACTGACTACTGCGCCTCCCCAGGTAGCTGCGTCTGCGTCCGCGTCTGGTCAGCTAGCTGCCCCCTGCTTGTGCCGGGCTCTGTCGCACCGACCCTTCTTTGGCACCACCGTCTTGGTCACCCCTCGGTGCAGCGCCTTCGGGCCATGCACCGACGTCTCCTGGTCTCTGGCCTTCCGGAGACTCTGCCTCCTCTCCCACCCTCTCCTGCCCCTCCTTGCCTTCCCTGTGTCGAGGGGCGGCAGCGCAGTGCTCCTTACACCCCCTCGTTCCCACCGACAACTGCTCCCCTGCAGACCCTGCACATGGACGTGTGGGGCCCAGCCCGCGTCTGTGGGTAGGACCGCGAGCGGTACTTCCCGCTGGTTGTTGATGACTACTCGCGCTACACCACGGTCATCCCCTTGCGCACCAAGGTTGAGGTCCCTGATGTTTTGATCCCTTGGATCCGCGCTGCCCGTCTCCAGCTCCGGGAGCGGTTCGGGAGGGAGTTTCCTGTACTCCGTCTCCACTCTGATAGAGGTGGAGAGTTTTCCCCTGACCTGCTGCAGACCTTTTGTCGTGGGGAGGGCATTCGCCACACGTCCACGCTTCCCGCCTCTCCGCAGCAAAATGGGGTTGCTGAGCGCCGCATTGGCTTGGTCATGGAGGTCGCTCGTCTTTCCGTGCTCCATGCGGCTGCCCCCCATTTTCTGTGGCCGTCTGCGTTCCGCTACGCTGCGCGTCAGCTCAACCTTTGGCCCTATGTCTCCTTGCCGAAGACCTCGTCCATACTGTGGTGGACGGGGAAGGTTGGCGATGCGTCGCGATACCACCGCGGACAAGCTCTCTGCCCGTGCTGTTCCCTGCGTCTTCCTTGGCATTGTCCCTGACGCGCCTGGCTGGCAGTTTTACCACCCCACCTCGCACCGTGTCGTCCCCTCTCAGGACGTCACGTTCGACAACTCGGTTCCCTTTTACCGTCTCTTCCCCTACCGTGCTACCCCTCTCCCCCCCCCCCCGTCGCTCTTCCTTGCACCAGGTCCTCTCCCGGTAGACCCCCTCCCCCCTCAGGGTCCTGCTCCCTCAGGTGCGTCTCAGGTAGACGCTGTCGAGCCTGTCGAGGTAGCGGTTGACTCTGGTGCTGCTGGGGGTGCTGAGCCTGTGCGTGCGGAGCCTGGGGGTGCTGAGCCTGGGGGTGCTGCGCCTGGGGGTGTTGAGCTTGAGCGTGCGGAGCCTGGGGGTGCTGAGCCTGAGTGTGTTGGGTCTGGGTGTGCTGAGCGTGGGGGTACGTCGCATGGGGGTGCTGAGCCTGAGAGTGTGGAGTCTGGGGGTGCTGAGCCTGGGGGTGTCGAGCCTGCGGTTGCTGAGACGGGGGTTGCTAAGTCTGCTGGAGGTCCTGCAGGGGCCTCGTCTCGGCGGGAGCCTCTCTCTCCACAATAGCTACGAGAGTGGTTTGCTCGCAGCTGGAGGCGTCAGGGCGGAGCTGCTGCGGCTGATGAGCCTGCCGCGGGTGGCCCTCGAGCAGGAGGTACTAGAGCTGTTCTTGCTGGAGGTGCTGCTGGTGCTAGAGCTGGTGGTGCTGCAGGAGTCAGAGCTGGAGGCGCTGGAGCTGTTTCTGCTGGTGGTGCTGCTGGTGCTGGAGCTAGTGGTGCTGCAGGAGTCTGGAGACCTTGGAGCTGGAGGTGCTAGAGGTCCCTCTGCTGGTTCGAGTGGTGCTGCACGGCCGCGGCCGCACTTCGTTCCACTCCTTCAGCAGGTTCTTGGTCTCCCGCCTTCTACTGGTCCTACTCCTCCCTTAGAGTGTCCCCCGCCTGTCCAGTCGCAGTCGCAGTTACAGCCAGCCTCCGCACTGCCTGCTCCTTCTCCTTTCACTGGTCCGATGGGGGGCCTTACTAAACGTCGTGAGCCTGCGCCTCGCCCTGTGTTGCCTGTTTGCGCTGCTCGCACTGGTCGTTGTGTTTCGCGTCCGCGTCTTCATCCTGTCCCCGCCACGCACCAGATGGCACTGCGTCCTTCCACAGCTCCACAGCATGGTCAGCTTCGTCTTGTTTACGTGGCCTCTCCGGCCAACACTGCTGATATCTTCACCAAGGCACTTCAGCCTTATGATCATCAGCGGTTCTGTACTTTTCCAGGCCTTGTCCCCACTTGGCCTCACTTGCTCAGTTCTTGACTTTGCTTGTACTGTGATCTCTATATATATACCTGCATGTTTACACTTGCTAGGTTGTGACCACTGTCTTGCTCTATTTTGCTTGATCTGCTTTATATAACTCTGCATGTGAACTGGCCTTGTGGTCCCTTGCTTGTTCTCGGAATGCGTGGTGACGTCGTGATCCACCCTGGGCTTGCTTTGCTCTTCTTGACTAGTCTTGTGACCTCTTGTTCTCCCCCACTTTGCCTATGGGGGTGTGTCAAACTTATATGCTATAGTCTGTATAGGCTGTAGCGGGGTAGACAATATGGGGTACAACACTTTTAGGTTGACTACTTGTACCCACCTGCTTCCTATTCATTCAGTTGTACTGTTCTCACAGGTCAAAATGGCAAGAAGTAAATGTACAATTTGGTGCTCTAAAAATACATTTTTGTGATAGTCATTATATAAGAGCATGCGCTTATGCCCTAGACTCAATGACAAGCGCCCCTTCTATTTTTTATTATTTTATTATAAGCTCATATGTGCCACTATCCGGGGTGATACGGCACACCCGGAATCTCGCTACACTGAACTATGCGGAACTGGCTGGCAGGCCTTGTTTTATTTGATTTGTTAAAATCCCAAACGGGACTTAGCGAAGGATCATCTCACGGTTGATTGCAAGGTAGTATTGCAGCGGAAGTGTTGACCCCAGGTCAGAGTGAATGTAAATGACTCAGATGATAGTACCATGCATGCATCAAGTTTATATGGAAAATACAAAGGAATGCGAAACGACCTAGACTAGCCATGTACTCTAAGGGGTACATTCCCTTATTACACCAAATTCAAACCGTGCGGCGCGGGAACCCGTTTCAAACCCGTTCCTGCTCTTTTCACTTCAAATGTTTCCGCCTGCATTGGTCTTGGTCAGACGGTTGCTGGTGTCGCTTCGACTCTTGTGACTCCTCGGCTTCGTACTCGGTAGAGTCGGCTCGTGCAACATACTAGGATGCCTTCACATTGAATTTCATATCGTAACACTCCCCTTCATTCCTGGCCGCGCAGAGGCCTGACTCTCTTGACTAATCCTGTGAGGCCGGAGCAGTGCTTGTACTGCGGACGTGGCAGTCGCTTGGTAAGGAAGTTACCTGCCATCTCGGTAGTGGGGCTGCCCTGGTCAAATTCGTCCTTGACGAAAAAGTGTCGAAGCGCGATGTGCTTCGTGCGGTTCACAAACCCTGGCTTGTTTGTAATCTTGATGGCGCTACGGTTGTTGCAGTGAAGGCGAAAGGTGGGCGAAGTTGGAATTTTCGCTTTCTGCAGCAGATCCTGTAGGCACAGACCTTCGCGAACT